TTTCAATGTCAATAGACTTGGGCATAGTGCCCCTTCTTTCCATAAACATAGTGGGACCCTTTCTTATTATTTCTCTTCTTAAAGTTTCTATCATTTTTCTTTACTTGTAATGTAGGATTTGTCTTCTTTGATCCATTTTTCACAAAATTAAGCTTAGAGTTCAACATACCGACCAAAGTCTTATCCCATATGAAGGTGTTGCTGAATTTGCTCCAAGGTAAGTTCTTCTGCCTTGTGCAGAAGCTTCTTCCTATAATCCTTCAAGGAGGGTGGAAGTTTGGCAATTATTGCTCCCACTTGGAAAGATTCAGAAATGATGATGTCAAGAGATCAAATTTTGTTGACTATCACCTATAGCTCATGAACTTGCTCCAATATAGGCTTATGGTCGTTCATGGTGAAGTTAATGTATTCTGTGATGAAATATTTTTTTATGCATGCTTCTTGCACCTTGTATTTGAATTCCAAGGCCTTCTAAGTTTCTTTAGGAGATGAGAGTTCCTTGTAGAGTTGGTTTGGTAAGACGTTCAATATATATTCTTCGCATAGAAGTGAATCCTCTTCTCATTTTTCTCTTCCATTCTTTACATTTTCTATGTCTTTGTTGGTGGATTTATAGGTTGCAGATTCAGATTCAGAAGATAGTACAATTTAAGTCTGGTAAAAAAGAAGATCATCTTATCTTGCCATCAATTGAAATTGGCTCCATCGAACTGGTCAAGTCTAACATGTTCTTGGTTCATCATCTTGATTGACATCATGCTTGCTTCCACCTCTATTGCCAAAATAACTTTCTAAAATTGTTGGGAATTGGAGTCACAAAAACTTAGAGGAGAAGTTCTGAAGCATGTTTAAAGACACTATCCTTAGAGCATTATTTGCCCTCACTTAGTTTTATTGAGTTTGTTGTTGGGTTATAGGCAAATTTGTTCCCATGATACAATAGAGCTTTGGGAAAGAATCTGCAACTAGCAAAGCTGAAGAATATTCAAAGAAACCTTCTATGAGACAGTAGTAGATCGCATTGAGAGAGACAAGTGATTTTTCAAAAAATTTTGTTTTGTTCATTTGTTTGATTCACACTCTTTATATAATTTTTGGAGAGTCATCTTGAAGAGGAGGGTGTTGTTATCGTTTGAATAATGTTTCTTGATCACACTCGATCCAATTGTGACTGTTGGATTTTCTAACAACATCAGCAATCATGATTCAACCTTAATTGTACCCTTTGGTGCGATTTAACCTTTGCACTAAAAAATCAAAGTGCGAACAAAGTATGCCTCTAAAGTGCCTCATTGCGCCGCACACACGTGCATGCATAGTAGCAAGTCTCCATACTCTCCTCTTATAATCTAAGGAGTATAAACGAGCTCCTACTTAAAAACTCAAAACATGTTTAGTGATTTCCAATGTGGGACAAGGTTTTAAAGAAGATAAATAAGTTGAAAAATGCATGTGTATTTTCATGTAATTAATCAATAAAACCCCATTGGATTTAATCTCTAATGAAATTAAAATCCAACAATGCTTATCAATTTCACCTACCAAAAGAATATACATTAAACTACTCTAAGAGCTGAAGTATTTGATGGGAAAGCTATGAATTTGCTCAAGGCTTGAAAAATTCTCTGGTGTTGTTTTGATTTAATGATGTTTGTTCTTGTTAGTTGATGCTTGAATTCCATGAATTCCAAAAGTAGAATGTTAAAATAAATTGGCACTGAAAAGAATAGTGGTGAAACAGAATTCATGTAGCCAACCTTGTATAATGGGAACAAGGCTTAGGGCATGTTCATTTGCTCTTAATACCTCTTATCTCTTATCTATTAATTACTTTAAGAGGTATTAAGGGTGTTTGGTTATCATTTTATTTTTCAATCAAGATCTACTCATAGAACACACCTCACATGGACCTTACAGCCCCATCGCACTATGTATTGAAACATTTGCCCATGAATAACAACATAAAGGATGGGAGATGTTCCCAATACACGATGGGATGGGGTTGTTTGGTCCTTGTGAGGTACGCTTTGGGAGATGTTCCCAATACGTTAACGTACTGTACATCATGTACAATAGCAATAATTCCCACTATTGTTTTCCAAATTTCTTCAAAAGGTTGTTCTTTTTATGCATGCTATGATTACCTTATACAACAACAACAACAATAATAATAATAATAATAATAATAATAATAATAATAATAATAATAATAATAATAATAATAATAATAATAATAATAATAATAATAAAAAGATCAAATGTTGATAATGAAGTAGTTTTTAAAAAAACATCATTTAAATAGTTAACACTAATTTCTTAATTATATAATTATTAGTGAAACAATATTTAGAAATTATTATTATTTTATTAATTATATATGTAGTATTTAATACCTATTATTTATTGTATTATTTAATAATTAATTATAAGAATGATTGATAATAATTATAAATTACTTTAATTAATAATTATGTAATAATTTATTACTTATTAATTCATTAATTAATGATCAATTTATTAATAATTTATATTTTTTATCAATTTCACTTTTATTAATTATTTTATATTCATTTAATTAATTTATTAAATAGTTAAACAAGATTTTAATATTCGATTAAAATGGTCAATTGCCATTTTTAGAACTCAACATTAAGATTTTTGAACAATATTCTTTACATTTAAACTTCAAAACCGAGAAAAGTTCAACTCCAATACAAAGGGCTTGTTAAAGTTATAGATGTAAGACGCAACTAATAAAAATCTACGACCCTATTTGATTTCACTTCTAAAAAGTACTTCTTTTAACAAGTACTTCTTTTAAGATCTGAGATGACATAATAAGTGGTTATTAAGTGCTTATATGTGTTTGGTAAAAAAGTGAGAAAGAAGTACTTTTTAAAAAAGTGGCCTCAAGGTTGCTTTTTTTTTTTTCAGCACTTCTTAGAGAAGTGCTTCTTCCAATCGAATGGGACGAACCAGTCCCTATTAACTTTTTAATACTCAAAATACCCCCGCATGAGGGTTTCCTTCCCTCTCCTCCCATTTGAACATAGCAAACCAGGGAGTGGCGCCTTTAGTTGTAGGTCCATCGACGGTGATCAATGGTGAGGAAAAACAGCTAGTAGACTTGTCGTTTTGCCATTTTTCTGTGTTTTGTGAAGTTTTTCTACGATTTGAAGCTATTTTCTTGGTTTATTTTAAGTCTGAAACTCCCTTTTTCTCTGTGTTCACAAAATTTCTTTTGGGCGAGTTGAACGACGATAATCCCATCGTCGCTTAGTTCACCCAAAATCCTCCCCTCCATGTTTGGTGTTCTTTTTGGTTCTTTTGGATGATTATTTGTCTAAGTGAAGTGATGGCTAAAAGTGTCATTTATGCCAACATAAGCACTTGTGGGGAAAGTAGTTCACCAAACATCCCCACCCAATATGTGTTTAAAAACACAATAAGTGATTTGGTAAGTGGGTCACCAAACAACCTTAAGTGGTTGTTAAAAGAAACACTTCTAAAAAGTACTTGTACAACAAGTACTTCTTTTAACAACCTCTTATTCACCAAACATAGCCTAAAAATATTTAACTTCAATTTTGACTTATCTGACATTGATGGCCATTGGAAGGAGTATGGGAACCAGAATAGCAAGGATACTACTATTGCATTGTAGACACAAATGTAATATATGTATAAGTGAATTTTTTGATATCTCCTTAGTATACAGAGAATCCCCTAAAAGTTGTTAAGAACAATAGGACTAAGGTATATATTAGAGAATTTTAGTTATGAACCAAAGAACTAAGTTCATTTAAATTTCAATTGTAGGAGTTATTTGCATACAAAATGTGTAATGATAAGTGTCTTAAGGCATTTTTGGTTATGTTTGTTCTGGTTACTTGGTAACAATATGACCAAATGGACAAACTTTGTTGAGATTCATTTCACCATTTACAAGCTAGTTGATTTTCTTTGCTACTTAATTGTTTTTCTTGCCATTTTTCCTAAAAATGGCTACTATGGACTGGTGAGTTAATTTATTGGTGCAAAGAGATAATCTTCATAGTCAATAAACTCCACAAGTTTCTATAATGAAATAGAAAAAAAAAAGAAAAAAAAGGACAACTTCTACCACATGATTCTCCTGCACTGTGAAGATGGTCTAAGTTTTGGAGAGAGTGAGTAAGATGCAAGGAAGAATAATGGTGTCGGAGATGAGATTGGTTCAAAAAGATAAAAGTGGAAGTATTTAGAGAATGAAGGATGTGATGATGCTAGGGTTAGAATGTTCATTAAGTGATTTAAGTCTAAGTAGAGAGAATGAAGGCCAAAAAATGATGGAATCAATGGAATAGATCTATAAATGAGATAATCGTAATGGATCGTATACCAAAAAAAATCGTAATGGATGTAGAGATGGCTTACCTTGTGCATGGAAAAGAATTATAGAAGATTCCCAAGGCAATTTGAGGGTTCTCTAAGGACCAAGAATTCTAGAATATTCTTCAGGTAGTTAGTTAAGGGCTCAAGTCCTTAGGTTTCTCTGATGAGGACACATGCCTACAATCTCTTGCTATGTGTCATTTTAAGGGAGATAGTATTCGCATTAAACTATAGTTTTACTTTATTTTCTTTGTCTTGTGTCTTATGAAAGGCGTCTGTGGTTTAGGATTTGTTGGTGAAGGGATTCCACAGCTAGCTTCTATAGGGAGAGTCTATGGTTCTTTTAAGAGGAACATGTAATCTTGTTGTTGTGGCTAGTCCACCAGGATGCCTTAGAATTATATAAGTCTTTACCCTTACATTAGTCCCCTGTTCGAGAGTGGGTTTTCCCACTATTGAGGAAAAATGGGCTTGGTATTTTCTCTGGTATAAATGCCAATTATCCCCCAAAGTTTTAAGGAATTATTGAAAGAAATAGGATTTTTTTTTTGAAAGAAATTAACCCAAAATTTTCAAGCTTGTTTAAAAGGGGAAATTAATTTCCTTAGTCACGGTCATAGGGACGATTCATTAGTGGCAATTTTTTAGTTGGCGCATGGGTGACTGCCGGTAGAAATTTTAAGTCTTTCTTTGGCAGTGCCGCTTAAACCCCGCGAAACCCAGGATTTTCCCTCTCCCTCTCCCTCTCCCTCTTTTCTAATTTCTCACCCTTTCATATTCCCACTCTCCTCTCTCTTTCTCTCTTAGTCGACTAGTTTTTCACCTCTTATTCCCAATCTCCCTCTCTCTCTCTCTCTCTCTCAACCATTTCTGATTTCTCATCAGCAACGAAATCTCCTTGGATCTTAAGTTTGAGTTCATTTCCCAATGCAAAAGACTTCTCATAATCACGCCACAATCTTATTGATTCAACGAAGTCCCTCTCTCTCCAACAATCTTCGTTGGATTTTCTTTTTTCTAAAACAACCTCCTCGTCTTAGGTTCTCACATCTCACATCCTTGTTCATTCATCACCGGAAAAAGGTAAGATTAAAAGCCCCCATGACCTAGAATAGTTATCCCCTTTTTAGCAGGGAATTTTCATCGTTTGTTTAGTTTAATGGTAAAATTAGGTTAGATTCATTATCAACCATGTTTGGTTTATTTGAACTTCTTGTTGAATCTGATGTTATCTTCTTAATTTTTTTCTAGATTTGCTTAAATTTCCGTAGGTAAGAAAGTAGTAAAATCATGTTGATTAGCTTAAGGGATTCAGTTGGTCGGGCTGTAGATCCTTGTTGACTAGAATCATGTTGATTCCAGTTTGCACTAAGATAACAATTAATTAAATTCTGAGATGTGTAGTCTCATCTTGGAAGCAATCCCTATTCATTGGAACAAAATGAACACTCGTATATATTTGAAAATCTCATCTTGACACTAGAAGCAATCCTTAGAAAGGTTTTGAGCATGCTTAACTTGTGACTATCCATTGCATGGAATTCAAAGAATTCCCTTCCTCTGTTTTTTTTTATTATGACTCTTTGTAAGTTTGTATTGTATGTGATTATTCCAGATAAATACATCTATTGCATATAGACTCTTTTGTATGTGCAACTGATATTTTTTGGTTAATAGAATTGTATTTTACCTTTCGAAATGAAGTTGTTGGTTGGATTTCAAATTTGGCCAAGGTCTTGCTTTCCATGCTTGCTAATGAAAACTACATTTTTTTTATCCAAGAGAATGAGCATTTGTACTAATTATTCTAGATTCTATATGTGCAAAATTAAAATTTTGACTTGCGTCATTGTATACTGATTTCTAGTTATTTCATTTATTGGATATAAGTTCAATTTGATTGCAATGGTTTTTGATATGAGAAACAAAGACATAACTTTGTTTTCTTAAATCCTGGACACATACATGGTATCTCACCTGAGGGGAAAAACCAAATTTTCCTAGGAATTGGTCAGTCATAGATCTGGCCTGGTCACCCTTCTTTTTATTTTTTTTCTTCTTCATGGTCTATATCATGTTGAGATGCAAAATTTAAAGGTGTGGATTTAAGGGTTCTTTTTTTATTCAATTAAGAGTTCTTGGTTATGATCTGTATTTCACCAATAGTGTTACTATGATTAAGTACTGATGACTAATTTTTGTGACCTCTCTAGTCAATGCAATGACTAGCTATGCTTGGTATTAAAAATTTACTTTATGCACACCATTGAGTGAAAGGAAACATAAAAGAACCTATCTTCCATACTCTCTTCTTTATGGCTTCTTTATGTTTATACACCATCAACAATGTTCCATCACTAGCTGAAGTAACAACATCCATATAACAGAACGAGATCTTTTCCTCACACATGGGCGCCTCACAGGCATATCCACTGTGCATTGGGAACATATCTCATGAATAATAACTTATAAGTATGGGAGATGTTCCCGATGCATGGTAGGATGTGCGTGTGAGGTCAGTGTGAGGCGCCCTGTGTGAGGAGCAGATCTGGTCTCACATATAACATGTAAAAGCATATACTATATTATTTTAAATAATTATTTATAAACACAAACAAATGAAGCTTCAAAATTACTTTGTGATAAGCTATTGGACCTATTCATTAATTGACTATTCAACGTACTTTTTGCTTAGTCGTCCCAGACAACTAATGTTTACACTTTGATAACATGATTGTCAAGATGGAAATATGTTTTTTACCTATTCAGATGCCTCTATTGCTTATATACATCATGGAATTTAGCTTCTATATCTTAATAAGGAGTTCTCTTTTTTCCAATTGGCATTGCATTTTCAGATTGTCTTGTTGTGAAGTGCAATTATTGGTCTTTTTCATTGATTCTTGGAGTCATCTCTTACTTTTGGAGTTTTGGGTATTTTTCAAAGTGTTTTGATGGAATTTTTATGGAACATTTCTGTTGTTCTAGTAACAGAAATACAATTGTTCATTGCTCTATAGAACACCAGAAACATTCCCTATGAATGTCATCATATGCTATCTAAGTTTTTAAGAATGAAAATGTTTGAGGACCTCTCCCAACTACAACAAATGCTTGACTAGTTTAATTCCCACTAGCCATTTTAGATACAAATTGTAGTTTAATTTTGTTTTGGGTTTTACTTTATTCTATTGACAGGCCTTATTTTACTTCATTTGTACTACAATTGAATATAATAAGGTAAGATTTAAACAAAAAATAAATCTGAATCTACACCTAAATTCTGTCAATTTTGAGTGAAAAGTGCATCTTCAATTCAAATTCACTCAATGTTGATTTTACTTTTTGGCGACAACAGCAAATATTGGCCTCAGTGATTTGTTAAAATCAGAAAATTTTAAAACAGTTGTCGCTAACCCCCATATATATTCATATGTTTTCTTATTTAAGTGAATATATGGACCTAATGACTATTTATTTCTTTCTTGTGCTTGGTGCTTATAAGATTGGTTTGTATATAGTGCTACATCATCTACAGGTTAGTCTTGCCATGTCTTGTAAATAGAAGTTTTGCATATCCAGTTAGTCCTACTTGTAAATAGAAGTTCACATATGGAGAGGTCCATGATTCTAGAACCAACATAATATTGGTTTATAAAACAATAACAAGTTTTCTAGTATTAAAATTATATGATTTATGGAACATTATGTTGAACAATAAGATGAAAACATGTTTTTGAAACCAAATTCAAGAACATGGTTTTCGTTTCAGTTTTGGAAACAAAAATCACATACATAATCAATTGCACTTATGACCTTAAAAATTAATTAAAAATATAGTGAATCTTCATATTTTCCAAAAATATGTTAGATGCTGAACCATTCAAATACACAAAAAATCATAGGAATTAAAGTACATAATACATGAATAATATAGATTTTGTAAATGCATAATAAAAATGTAAGAGTGCTTTATTTTGTGATATATCTAATAATATAAATATGATTATAAATATATTTTTAATGAAGCATATTTATAATAGATTAAGCATACATTTACATGTAAATAATGCCAAAATTTTTATTCTATATTTTTTTAAAGATGACATATTAAACACATTCATCTTAAACAGATCTTTTTTAGCAAAGCACATATGTATAATGCAATTATTTGTTGTATTTTTCATTCTTGAAACTGAGTTATATGGGAATTTTTTTCTCTTATTCTACTTATGTCAAATGTTGGTCCTAGGTCCAAATATATTCTGAAATGGTGCGTTATATATAAATAAAGCCAACTTACTTCATGAAATCAATCCATGCTTGGGGCTTCTTCCGAAGGGCATTCACCACGGATGCATATTCATTTGGTTCAAGCCCATAATTTTCTAGTATGTTTGTAGCCTCTGTGGCTTAAGCCAAAAATTTACTAATCCTTGCCTACTAAATTGTTGAGGTTAATCAATTTCCACTACAAGTATCTTTTCTACTGTATCACCAATTGGACAAAGCATATGAGGTCTATAGAAAGGGATCATTGAGTGGTTGCTGCTTCCTATTGTTTCACTTGTAAAACTTAAAGTAATCTCTGTTCTCTGAATGTTTCCTATCTCTACTTATGGTTCATTGTTGTTGCAGGAAAAAACCAGGTTTGAGTACATATGCCAATGATCCCTAAAAGGTTGTAGATTCTTAGCTATCTCTTTTGGAGCAAGTAGAATATGGTGTTCCTAAAGAGTTGTGTCACAAGACACCAGTCAGAGTTGGGGTGTGTACTTATGATATATATATTACTTTTTTGTTATAAAATATTTAACCTATGCAAGTCTTCCATACTTGATGTCCACTCTAACTAACTTCAATGCATATTCAAGCAATGGTAGGTTTGAGGGCATTGGGAGGTGATGCTTCAGATAGAATTTTGCAAGTGGTAAATCTCATGTTGTTCCCCCCTTTGCTTTTATGACTTAAGTTAGTATGTGTATGCATTTGTTTATATTGCCTTATAAACACTCAGATAGGTACTACTCATGCTTTAAAATGCTTCGTTTCTTAGGTTAGGGATTTTCATGAAGACAAAAGTTCCCTGAAGTCAAAACCAGAGTGGGTATGTTGTTTTGAACTTCACTCTATATACATACAAATTCATAGATTACATCACAAACTACCTAGTGGACTATGAAGGAATAATTTTTTTTTTTTTTTTGTTTTAGATGAAATCTTGCTATAGATCACCTTTTGTTTTATACTCTCTTCACATTATCCCAGGTAAGAAAACTTGTCTATCCCAATCCCATTAAATGAATAAAAAGAAAAGAATCTCAATATGACAATAGAGGGGGAAATAATTGGTTTACACCTACACCTCATCTCCCCTGAAAAATCAAAATCACCATTATTATATATATCCAATCTAATCAAGATACTATTGGTAGTAACCCATGCGTGTAAGTTGGAACTTGAGATATATCCAATAAATAGTGGAGCTAAAAGTAATTTATTCCACCATAGCCATTTTCATCCATAGAATACCTATACTTTTCTGGTCAGCGTGTTCATATTACAATATTATCATCCTTTGTTCATCATTTTTTAGTTGAGGAAAGAAAAGGATGGAGGTAAAATAGGGTCATGCAATTAGTAGGTTAGAAATTTAAAAATTGGGTTGGTTTCAATCGCAATCATCAAATAATATGAAAATCCCCAAAAATATTGTCTTAATATTTGTATTAAGTCATATTTATCAAAAAAAAAAAACATTTGTATTAAGTCATAGAATGGAAAACATTTGGAAGATTCTTTCAAGTATTCACTATTTCCTTTTGTAAATGTTAGAAGCATCAATACACCTCTTTTTATCAGTAAGAAGCACTGGCACACTAACTAAAATGTTTTATTTCCATAGATTAACACTAAAAGTTAATAGTGGATGTGGCATTAAATAGAATGGAATGGCAAAACAAGATTCATGTAGCTAACCCCATATATTTGGGGTAAGGCTTGGATGATGATGATGATAAAATTAGCACCGAGGTTACGCTCATTTTGATGCTATGACATGGATACTAATTTTAAATTAGAGTTGTAAAATTATTAGGTTCTAACCAATGGGATTTTAGGAGCAAAGCATATTTTATTACTTATATATGTTTTTATCCTAAAGATCCAGGCTTAAACCTTGTTCAAATTCTTAATAGGTCCATAGTTGATACATTTTCCCTTCAAAATCATAAATCTACTAAAATCCAATTTGATTAATAATCACTTCAATAATGTATGATTCAATCTTAAGTACCTGAAGTTTACCAAGAATATATGAGGATTGGCTAGACCTACTTTTTAGAAGTGTTATGAATGAATGTAAGATTCAAGTGAAAACTGTTAACCCATTGCACCAATTTCTTATATGTTTATTAAAGCCATGCAGTTTCAAGGGTTGGAGTGATTAGGAATAGTCAGCATCTTGTTATGTCAAAGTTGGTTGGCTTGTTATGATGTTTTGACCATATAAGTAATTAAGTATATAGTCTAATTGAATAAAAAAACTATAGATGTTAGAAAGAAAACACTCAAACTCGACCAACCCAACTAAATTCACCTAGATTCAAACTTAGCCTTTGTTTTGCTTAGGTTTAGCTTGGATTCAACTTGTACTACCATGCTCAGGCTATTCCTTAGGTTGGATCAGACATTGGGCTGTGGGGGGGGAGGGGGGCAAATTTTATTGTTGGGCCTAGGTTAGCCCTGAAGCTAGTCCAACACATTTTGGAATTGGAAGTAGTTGTCTTTTGTGTGAGGATTAGTTCATTGTTTTGTAATTTCTTGAATTAGTAGACTTCTCATTATCTTTATAAAATGTTCAACTTTTCTTTGTTCTATGTATTTGACTGTAGCAGGGGTGAATAGGTTGAATTTACTCTAGTTATGAAAAGCTGAGATAGGTTGGTTCTAACTTTAAAAGCTTTTGTTGTAACTCTTTTAAAAATGGTTTTGAAAAAGCTAATTGGACAACATTTAAGGTTAAATATCTTTAAGAGTTTATTTTCCACATTATTTGAGATTACTAACAATTTGCATTACCCTACACATTCTAGGCTTTCTATGATTTGATGATGTGGGAGAAGCGATGTGGTATCTTACTGGATGGAATAGCATAGATGCAGCAAGGATGACTCCATTACCACCATGAAGAAGGATTAGAGACCCAGATTTTTTTCTCTCTCTTACAGGGAATTTATACTGTTTATGTTGAGAAGCTATGTAGAGGTGGAAATCTATTGGATTTTGCAAGATTACTACATCATCTACGCAATAAGTAGGTATTATTGAGTGAAAATTCATATAATGCCCTCTTGATGGCCGCTGGTTAAGGGAATGATTTTGAGCTTCTGTTTTAAATATTCAAGGATTTCTTGGTCTCTTGTCAAACTTTGAGTTCAATTTCATATTTTAATCTTGCCAAGGGCCTTTCAAAGGCAACAAATTTTGTGTTTTTACTTAATTTCATGAGAGAAGTATCAGAAGTAACATTTCCAAGAAGTGCAATGATCATACACAAAATCATTTATGGCTTCACTAAATACAAGCATATTGACAAAGCACTCTTGATATCTAGATAGGATTTTGGAACTTGAGAAATTCTACTTTTCTCTCATATCCAAAGAGGAGAAGTTCTCTCATATCCAGACAAGATTTTGAGAAAAGTCGAAAAGAAGTTTTTGTAAATGAAGTAATTTGTATTTTTAAGAATGAATGAATGAATGGAGAATAAATATTTTTTTTTATTTGTATTTGATGTTTTGTTTTTGTATTTCATTTCAATTTGGATAAATGAATATAAAATAGGTTATATGAAGCAAATTATAAGCTTATTTAATAATTAAAAATAATTACAGGTTATTTAGGCAGGTGTGAAAAAATATATATAGTTTTAGCGGCAATCGGTACAACTCTTTAGTGGCAGTTTTTAAGTTTTAGCGGCAGTTTGCCGACTGCCGGTATTTCTATCGGTTTTAGAGCAAGGTATTTCTATCGGTGCATGAAAGAACGACAATGGTAAAAGTGAAAAGCAAGAATAAAATGAAGAAATAATAGAGAGGAGAGAATAATGAGTTGAAAATTGTGGGATGTCGAGCTTCTCACAAGTGTTAGAGTTCTAGTAGGAAAATGTTTGCACACTCCGAATCTTCTCTAGATTAATCTCCTACTAGATTGAGTTTATCCTCATCTCTTGGAGTTGGATAGAGATCCAATTCCTTTTCCTTAACACACCCCCTCAAATTCGACGTTGATGAAGAAGCTTTAAGTTTTCTACGGAGAAGCACATGATGAGAAGATGAGTGACCCTTGGTAAATATATCAGCAATGTGATCCTCAATATGAAGATGACGGACAAGAATCTGGCCAGACATCACCTGTTCCCTAATGAAGTGGAAATCAATCTCCACATGTTTGGTACGTCCATGATAAATGGGGTTGGTGGTGAGGTATGTGGCACTGATGTTGTCACAAAACAATATAGGGGTTGAGAAGAGAGAAACACCAAGCTCTTTGAGTAAGGACTATAACCATACTACATCCGAAACAACCTCAGCAAATGCTTGAAATTTAGATTCAGCATTGGATCATGCAACTATATCTTGTTTGTGGGCCCTCCAAGAGATTAAATTTGGGCCAGAATACACTGTATACCCTTCAGTAGATTCTTTGTCGTCCAGACAACCTGACCAGTCTGCATCACTGAAGGCCAAAAGTGTGAGATGAGCAGCTGGCCGAAAATGAAGTCCTATGTCAATTGTTCCTTTGAGGTATCGAAGAATTCTTTTAACAAAGGTCTAATTTGTGTTAGTGGGGTTCTGGAGGAATTGATAGGCACGATTAACTACAAATGCAATATCCAGCCAAGTCAACGTGGCATACTAAAGTGCTCCCACAATGCTTCGATACTTAGAAGGGTCAAATAGGGGGGTTCAACTTGGAAAGGTTCTCATTGAGAGCAGCTGGTGTAGAAATGGGCTTCACTCCATCTAGATTGCACTGGCAGAGAAGATCATAAATGTATTTGTGTTGGGAGAGCATGAGTCCAGTGGAGGAGCAACTCACTTTGAGCCCAAGAAAGTAATGAAGAGCACTGAGATCTTTGATAGCAAAAGCATCAGCAAGTGAAGAGACTAATTGAGAAAGGAGTTGAGAGTCATTGGAGGTAACAATAATATCAACAACATATTACCAAAAATAAAAAGATGCACTTTTAAACTTGTAAATGAAGAGAGAGGAGTCGACATTAGAAGCAATAACCCCAAGGTTAATAAACGTTGACTTAGCTTCTGAAACCAAGCGCGGGGTGGTTGTTTCAACCCATAAAGAGCTTTCTGCAATCGACAGACATGATTGGGAAAATAAGCATGCTCGAAGCCTTTAGGTTGCTAAAGATAGACTTCCTCTTGTAAATCACCATGGAGAAAAGCTTTCTTGCATCTAGTTGTTTAAATTCCCAATTGAATGTGAGAACAAGAGATAGAACAAGCCAAATGGTAACAGGCTTAACTACCAGACTAAAGGTCTCCTCAACATCAATACCAGGTTGCTATGCATAGCCTTGCGTGACTAAATGTGCTTTGCATCGCTAAATGGACCCATCAAGATTAGTCTTGAGACGATACACCCACTTGTTTCCGATCACATTCATACCAGACTGAAAGGGGACTAATGTCCATGTGTGATTTTTTAGGAGAGCATCAAACTCAGAGCTCATCGCTTCTCTCCATTCTGGGTATTTGGAAGCTTGACTAAAACTGGTAGGCTAAATGATGGAGGTATTTAGTTGAGAGACAAAGGCTACAGGAAGTGGGTGCCGAGTTGAGAGATGAGCATTGACATGACTGCTAATAGTTGGGAGCGAGTCATCATTGGATGGGTGCGGTGTGGTGGCACAGGCTGAGTACGCAGAAGAGAATCAACTGTGTGCATGCATTGATGAATGGGACAAGCATTAGAGGAGGATTCTAGAGCGGATGTAGGCTGTGACAAGGACTACGATGGGGAGGGTGATGATGGCTGTTCCATTGGAGAAGAAACTGAGGAGAGAGGTCACAATGCTGGTGCAGTGATTATCACATCACCAGAGGATGGAACCTATACTGAAGAAGTAATAGTGGCAAAGGGAAATAATTGATCATTAAAGGTAACATCCCTACTTTCAAAGATATGGCCGTTGGGTAAATGCAAGCACCTATACCCCTTGTGTGATGAATTGTAGCTAAGAATAAGAAAACATTGAGAGGATCAAAACTCAAGTTTATGTTTATTGTATGGTCGCAAAAATGGATAATAAGCACATCCAAAAAATTTTAGATAAGAGTAGTCAGGGGATTGACCAAATAATTTGGCATAAGGGGAGATATTAGAAAGTACTGGTGTAGGCATCCTATTAATAAGAAAAGTAGAAGTTTGTGCAACATCATCCCAATAGGAGAGAGGTATAGAAGCATGAGACAATAAAGCAAGAGTAGTCTCAATGATGTGACAGTGTTTCCTTTCAGGAGCCCCATTTTATGCATGTAAATGGGGGTAAAAACACGATGATTTATACCATGTTGATCTAGATAGGATGAGAGTTAACGATACCCCCCTAGTCATACTGAAATTGTTTGATTTTAGAAGAAAACAATATTTTAACATGTAACTGAAATTTAATAAATGTTGGTAATGCATTAGACTTATTAGCAATAGGAAAAATCCAAATGAATTTACTATAGTCATCCGTGAACAAAATATAATATCTATAACCATTAACAGAAGGTTCAGGGGAAGGTCCCGAAATATCTAAATAAATTAAATCTAATGGTTGTTGTGAAGGAATATGAGAATGTTTGTGTGGAAGCCGATGGCTCTTTGAGAGCTGACAATCATAATAGAAATAACTAGAAAATGAACCACTAACTAGAAGTTGAAAATTAGACAAAACATGTTGAACAACTCTAAAAGTTGGATGACCAAGTCTTGAATGCCAATAAGAGGCCAAAGCCTTCTCTCCAATATAGGATGAATGTTGAGGACTTTATGAGGATGCACATAAAGTCTGCCCTTATTGAAATCATGCAGAAGGGTGTTCCCCGAGGACCAATCCTTAACAAGAAAGAAAGAGGGATGAAATTCAAAGAAGCAATCATTATCTTGAGCGCAATAGACAGACCTGTTTCATTCCCAATGTGAATCTAATCTGAGCCCTTGTACTCTGAACGAGTTTGCAGATTATTCATGTCTAGTGTGAGGTGATTTGTGGCACCAATGTCTGTATACCAGGCTGGATCAAAAGTACTGGGTGCACCCCCTGCTTGATACACATAATAGAAAGGTTGACTTTGCTCACTGATGTATGAGATATCAAATCTTTTGTTGTAGTTGAGAACAGACCTGTTACATGGCTGGTGTGAGTGTCGAAAAATGGCTCACTTTGGGCTGAAATGGAGTCGCTACCTATCATTTGAAGGAAATGGAGGTGATGGGACCTTCGAGAATGATTTTCAAAAATATTTCATTTTAATACTGACTCCAATGCCTGAGGCACTAGCTAAATCAGTCTGGGTAAAACTCAAATGGAAGAGGGAAGGGTTTAGGCACTCCTCTCTCGGGCCCAATAGGTGAGGTCCACATGTGGTCCAAAAAAAGGACAATTATTCAAGCCAATAGGATAATAATCATTAAAGATATCAAGCTATAAAAGTAATACACATAGAAGAGAATCTTAAGTATTTATATTTATTTATTTATTCATTATCTTTCTTCTTTTTAAAATTATTATTATTATTATTTGTTATCTTCTTATGGAACCCCATTTGTTAATTTATTTATCAATTATTCATTGGATTTATCATTATTTACCCTATTTCATCCTTTTTTTATATTTTTTTCTCCTTTTTTTATTTTCTTTTTATCAGAATTTTATTTGATATCGCATTTTCCCTTTTTTCTCTCTTCCCTTTTTTTCTCTAATTCCCCTTTGTACTTTCAATCCGAATCAGAGACTCGCATCCTCCATCAACTCAAAAGGATGTTCCCTTCCATATTGGCAGATCAATCCCCTTTTGGATACAGGGGCCTGACCAAAAGGGTGAAAGATTGCTCCCTCACCCCTTTTCTATCAGAGCCCCTACCTTTAGACTCAGTGGAATTGATTGAAAAGAGAGGAAGTTCTGACCTTTCGGAGTCTGGAGAATTCACAGGCTCGAATTTGAAAGCAAGATAGAAAAACAAGATTAAACCAACAGGGAAAGACTATAAAATGCAATGATGAGGCATGGGTGTTTGGATTAGGACTGTTAGAAATAACATTTAGACCCCTTGTGCCAACAAGGTTTCTTTCACCTGGTCAAGAATAAGGTATGTCAAATAAAAACTATAGATATCCTTTTTTTTCTTCCTCCATGATGAGGCAGTGGTGTTTGGATTAGATCTTGTTCATCTCCGGGTCGACGGGAATAG